TTATGTTTCCCTTTCCTTGTGGTTTTGATCTATGGGCTACTATTAAAATGAGGCTGCATTTTAAATTGTATTTTAACCCGTATTTTAATAAATTGATTGTTGTTGTTTTTTCCCTATTATGTTTTTAGTGTAATTTTACTGGTGTTAGCCACCCTGAACCTGGCTCTGGCCAGGGAGGGCGGGGTATAAATAAATTTATTATTATTATTATTATTATTATTATTATTATTATTATTATTTTATTGTCATAAGCCGCCCTGGGCCTCATGATGAAATGTAAGAAATCCTAAGAACAACAACACCAAATCAGCATCTCTTAAATAGCTCCCTGCTATCAATGTTTCAGGTGCCTGAATTCGAAAGAGCTTTCAGAGTAATTGTAGGGCAGAAATGGCTTGGCTTTGCAGCAGGTCAGTTAAGGGGGAGAAGGGCTGCAACATTTCTGAGGTACTGCAGTAGGGGAAGGGTCCTCGCCTGCAGGTTTACCATCTCCTGATGACCACAACTTGAAGTTCAGGATTTGCATGTGTGAAAGCCTGCCTATCTTCTTGCATACAAGGCTATTCAGTGGAATCAGTCATCAAGGGTGAGGAAAAACGAAGCGTTGGTGTGCATGTAAGTCATGAACAGGCCCCCCAGGATAGGGCATGCTCTTCACACGGCATCTGGCTTCTGTGCACCAACAGATTAAAGGAAGGGTCCCTCTCATTATTGTCTGTTGTAATTTGGATGATTGGTGACACAGAGTGAGAAAAAGGGGCACATCTAAAGTAGGGCTGGATGATCTATCGTGACAATTGTTTCATAATATTTGAGCTGGCAATATATCACAAATCACAATGTGTGTAAAGGCTAGGCAATATGTGGTTTTCAACATCACCATAACTCACCAGCTAAACATCATGATAACTCACCAACTAAACACTGCAACGTTATCAGCAGCTAAACCTCACAATATTACCAGCTAAACATTGACAATCAGTCACAGATTCCCAGGGATTCTGGGTAAGTTGCTCAAATGGTTTCCTGAACATCTTCTGAAGCATTGATGCTGAAACAAGTGCATGGATGTGCCTTAGCCCCAGCCTCAGAAGATGTAGTCAAGGCTCAGAGACAGAAGCCAGAGAAGGGGGGGAAAGGGTGGGGGAGAGAGACAGAGACAGACACACACGGGGGGGGTGCTTGCTGGGGATTGCCCAGTTAAAAAGTCACACTCCTCAGGTGGGGCTGAAGGTGGCACCTAGGAACACCAATCTGGACTGGAGTTACAAATCTTCAATCTATTTTGAAGCAGCTGCTGCTGCTGCTGCTGCTGCTGCTGTTGTTGTTAACATACATCATCTTTATTTTCAGACCATAAATGGCTTTCTACGGGTCAGTTATATTCAATGTGAGACAATAATTGTTGAATGTAACATAAGGCTGGCAGAGAACAGTGTCACAGCAACTTGTGCTTTTGGAGCTGTCTGTGGTCCTGAAATCCAGGCTGCCTTCCCCCAGGAGTTCCTGCACCAGATAGGATGCTTCCTCTTGGCACAGCAGAGGCTGTGGAGATGAATGTGGGCATATAACTTTCTGTCTTCCTATGCGGAAAATAGGAATGCCATCCTGCAGAATATGTATCAGCCTATTCTGCAACTTACACATACACTTAATTTTGGGTAGTCCGTGAAACCATTTCAACAAACAACTTCATCTGGTAAAATGTTAGGCTCTTTGTTTCATAATGGACATATTTGGGACACATGAGCCTACAGAGCAGACTGACCACCATCAGCTTTGTCTTAGGTGGTGGTTGGATGAATCCTCTAAGAGGCATCATCAAAACCAGCCTACTTAATGGCTCGGCCACAAAATGTGGCTCCTCTTCATGCAGAATGTAAGTTTCCTTTGTGGAAACTTTATGGTCTACAAATGCACCCAAATGATTCCAAAGCTCCCCAAAATATATTCCTTTCCCTTCTGTGGGGTGCCCTGTATCAAGAGCCAGACCCAGCTGCTGCCACAACTTTGCCAAACTACTACAGTACCTGCAAAAGGGACTTTGATGTGTACCTTAACAAAACTTGACACCAGTTGGTGAACCCTCCAAATGTTCACCTGCTGAGCCTCCTAGGGTGAGACTGGAGACCTTCGGAGGCCAGTGAGCCAGTTTCACTGCCAACAAGTACACAGATGGCTGTTCCCATATTGTGGAATTCCCTCCCAAGAGAGGCTCCTGCTTTGTTATCCTTCTGCTGGCAGGCTGAGAGCTTCTTCTTCTGACAGGCTTTTGAAAAATAAGGCGCAGATGACACTGAACACTGGGCTGATGTGAGGCCAAACTGTACTTTGATGCTGTTTTTAAATCTATTTTAATGTATTTTAGCCAGTGTGTTTTTATTACTTTGTACTTTATAATGATGTTTTTTTAAATGTTATAGGCCACCTTGAACCCCAATTTCAGAGAAAGGCAGAATATAAATACATTAAATTATTAAGATCATTATTATTACTTTTGTTACCAGAGCTGATCCTGTTAATGTGGTGTCTGGGAATCCATGCCACTCCTTCCTCGGGAGATAAGTCCATTATCCTGTATTATCAATTAACTAATTAATTAAATTTGTATATCACCCTTTGATCTGAAGATCTCAGGGCAGTTCATAGCATAAAAACACAAAATAAAAACACAAAATGCATAATAAAACAGGAACAAAACAAACCAATAACGACTCCCACAAACACATTTAAAAGGACATAGAACGTTAATCAGCCAAAGGCTGAAGAGGAACGTTTTTGGCTGGTGCCTAAAGATGCATAATGAAGGTGCCAGGCAAGTCTCATTGGGGAGAGCACTGCACAAATGGGGAGCCACTGAAGAAAAGGCCCATTCTCGTGTTGCCACCCTCCAAACTTCTCACGGAGGGGGCACACAAGGAAGGACCTCACCCGATGATCACAGTGTCTGGGTTGGTTCAAATGGGGAGAGGTTGTCCTTGAGGTATAGCAGTCCTGAGCCATTTAAGGCTTTATATATCCAAAGCAGCACTTTGAATTGGGCCCAGAAACTAATTGGTAGCCAGTGCCGTTGGGCCAGGACTGATGTAATACGCTCAAACTGTCCTGCAACCTGGCCATTGAGTTCTGCACCAGTTGAAGTTTCCAGACTGTCCTCAGAAGCAGCCCCATGTATAATGTGTTGTAGTAATCTAACCTAGAGGTTACCAGAGCATAGATGGCAGACGTTTGGCTATCCCTGTCCAGATTGGGACACAGCTGAGCCACCAGGCAAAAGCTGGTGAAACAGAGACCCAGAGAGGTTGGGACAAACATTAGGACTGTGCAAGAGGTTGTTACATGGGCATAGCCAGGATTTTTGTTAGCAGGGGCAGGCCTTTTATTACTGGGGGCAGAACCTGAGTTAGTTATGTATTTTTATTGATTATTTTTTTTGTTGATTTAGGGGGCAGCTGCCCCTCCCTGCCCCCCTTGCCTACACCCATGGGCTGTTATAAGCCCTGGACACTGGAAGTCTCAGGCTGGCTCCCAGCTACCTACTTCTGCCCCTGAGGATGCCTTTTGCCATTGGTTCTGCTCCTGCCATGTCTCAAGCATCCACAGCTCAGAGAAGCTATTTCACCTTCTGTTCCTTGCAGATGTTCTGACAAGAGATGACTTTTCCCTCCAGTGGGAGAAAGGGATCTCTTTTTCATTGCTGTTATTGCTTTCGCATCACTTCCTACCTACAGTTTTTGGGGACGGCAGTCTTGGATCTTGAGTGTCTCGGCAAGCCCAGCTTGGCTGATCATTGTGACGCCTTAGGTTACTGGAAATGAATATGGATGCACATCTGCCTCCACTTAACAAATTATTGGAGATTGTGTTAAATTGCCCTGAAATTGTCCCATATGGCAGTGGCTATCACCATTTCTCTCTCTCTCTCTCTCTCTCTCTCTCTCTCTCTCTCACACACACACACACACACACACACACAAGTTGGGACTTGCCACCAAACAGTGCATCCCTGGAGAGTTTAAAAACTCAATCCTGATATTGAATATTTTATCCTTCCTATGCAGGTGACTTATCCTCTTGCCATCTCCAAGCCAGAGTGGTTGTATGTCTCTGTCAAAAACATGGTGAAGAAGCAAAGGGAGCTTATGTGAGAGTTCAATCCCTCCCAACCTGGGGTGGATCTACGCACAGGGGTGGGGGTGAAAGTTATAACAAAAGGAAAAAACCCTATCTAAAATCACATAGAAAAGTTTTGTGCTCTACAGCGCCATCTGGTGTTGCATGTTTATAATGCATTTAAAACATTTTTTTTTACTAATATAGTTGAGTCCCTGCTCTGGCTGGCTGGCTTGCCCAGTAGCAGGGTGACAAAAAAAATCTACAGCCTTCTGTTCCATTCAGCATGATCCTGGCCATGTTTATACCTGGTGGTGCAGACTAACCAATGCACTTTCACACCTCTCGGTTCCTGAGTTGTGGAGCACTATGAGCATAAAGGATGCAGGACATTGGTACTGTCAGGCCTTTAAAGAGAAGGATGTTCCTCTGCTAGTGAGCTGTTTGTCATGTGATGGAGCTAAGCTGGGCTGGGCCAGGTCTTCTGCATCCCTGGGTACCTCGGCTCACTGCTATGAGTGCTATGGTTCTCTTCTTACACTTTTTAACTGATCAGAGCCAAGAAGAATTCTTAGCAAATTCAACATGACTTTATTAGAAATCACCCTTGGAATGACTCCTCTTTGGGAATGAATGACCTGGCAGCCTTATCCTGAAGAACCTCTAAGGCAGCCTTTCTCAACCTGTGGGTCCCCAGATGTTGTTGAACTACAACGCCCATCACCCCTAGCTAGCAAGGCCAGAGCTCAGGGATGATGGGAGTTGTAGTCCAACAACATCTGGGGACCCACAGGTTGAGAACCGCTGCTCTAAGAGTGCTTGCTTTCATACTGCTTGCTTTCATCTGCTTCAACATGGCCAGTAAGTTGAAGGCTAACTTGGCCCTAGGACCGTAGCTCCGTGGTAGAGCACCTGCCTTGCTGCATGCAAGAGGTCCCAGGTTCAATCCCTGGTGTCTCCAGGTAGAGCTAGGAAAAGCCCTGTCTCTCGGCTTTCAAGGACCGATGCTCTGACTCAGTATAAGACAGCTTCCTGTGTTCTCTTTGTTGCTGAAACACAGCCAAGCCACTTGCCTCCACAGCACCAACTTCACAGCACTGGCACGCTGATGCTGAACTGGTCTGGGTGCAAACAGATACCACAGCTCTCTTGGTGTCTGCACTGACTCACTCTGTGCCGTTTCATTTCTGCTTTTAAAGATCCATGACATTTTGCCTTTCTGCTTCCTCATGTCCTGGCCCAGGACCGTACCTTGTTGCTGCAGACGAAACTTCTGCTCTGGAAGAGGCTGCTGTATAGCTACTTGAGAGGGTTCTAGTTAATGTGGAGGGAAACATCTTGGAATGCTCCCCAGATTTAGTCACCTCAAAACATTTATTGCCAAGGAATCATCCTAGCTCCCAGTAGAGAGGTCGATAGTGCTGTCTTCAAAGCCACGTATCTCAAAGCACATGAAACAATCTACATTGGGGGGGGGGGGACTTCACACTGGAGGGAGAGGCAAGGAAAACTACATACCATTTTCTCTTCTGCATTTTCCTTGACAATTAAGACCTCTGCACTTTCATGACCATGCATCCCTCCTCTGTCCTCTAGATTTCATCCACAAAAGGTGGTGGGTTAAAGGATTCTCTCTTGCATTCATCTCTTTCCTTCCTCTGGCACGCAAACACCAAGGCACCTGTTTCATATTGGCAGCCAGGAAAAGCAGCAATAAAGAGATTGGGGGGAAGAACTGAGTCACAAAACTCAGCCAAGGACATCCAGGCAGTTACAGAATTTGTATTATTATTATTACTGCTACTCCGTTCGTCCCACTTAATAGCCCAAAGAGGCTCTCAACACCACTTACAAAGATTTGCACAATGCAATTGCATTCAAAAAGATTTGCACCTTTTACCAAAAATAACATAGTGCTAGGTTTATTCAACATTTTTGTCCCCGTTCTTTGATTTGTCTGCTGTAGGCAGGTGGATTCCACAGGGGACGTCTGAGGAAAGGAACTCGCTGCTTTTTGCGGCTGAGGATGCTCAAGCAAAGAAGCCACTAGGCACACCCCTTCTCCAAAAATGGCCACATTAGCAGATCTGCAAGGGAACGGGAACTCCTCTCCCTTCCAGACTGGCACATCAGCCTTGCAGAAATGGAACACCACACATCCCACTTAGGCGAGGGACAAGATATTTTGCACGTGCTCAGGAGCATTCTGTTCTTTACCATTTTGCACTGAATAACAGGCTCCGTGGTAGGAGCTCTGGAGTCATAGCAGGAGTCGTCTCTGACAGGAAACATATTAATTTAGCAAAATCCGGTCTCACCCGTGTGGAACCAGGGGTTCCTGCTAAGGCAGCGCTCCACTGGCCAACTCCACCTGGTCCATCCCTCCCTTTTCTCTCCTCCTCCTCCTCCTCTTCCAGCCCAGTTTTGTTCACCTTGATGAGTTCTTCAGAGGGAGACAGGGGGCATCCTCCGGTCCCCCGCCCTCTCCAGCGTCGTCTGCCACGTCCAGCCGCTATCAGCTCCTCCATTGTAAATGCATTGTGTGCTGGCTTTGAAGCAATTATCTGGCTGTGGCAGAGCCTTGGAGGAGCTTTGTGTGCGGGAGACAGCAGCATCTCAGGCGCTCATCTTATCAGCCTGGTGTTAGGTTAATGAGTTTTATTGAATTCCATTCCCCGTGCATATGAATGGGCCTCCAGCAAGAGGGAGCGACAGCCAGCCAGACGGAGCAAAGGTCGGGGCCCCCTCTTGGCATCCACCTCACCGCACAGGACTGCACAGGGGTTGCAAGGGGAGGTGGGCGAGTCCCTTCACTGCAGCAGAGCAAGAAAGATGGTGAGACCAGGACTGTCTTAAGAAAGCTTCCCTTCTCCCCACTGTGACTAATATTGTCTCCCTCATCAGAAGCTATACTCCAATGATGAGAAACAACATGTTTCTGGTGTCCTGGAAACTTTTGTCAGCCTGGTGCTCTCCAGGAGTTTGGAACTACAACTCCCATTAGCCCCAGTTAACAGGACCATACAGTTGCGTTCTCTAGTGCAGATGGAAGTTGTAGTCCAAGGCATCTAGAAGGCACCAAACTGATGAAGGCTAGTTTGGAGTACACACCAGCAGGGGTGGGTCACCCCGGGTGTCACCACTGAGGGGGGTGGCAAAATGCCAGGCAGCACTCACCGCGGGTCCTGCAGTGCGTCCCAGCCACGCATCTCTCCTGGGAGTGAAGCGGTGGCTTAGGTGCCTGGAGGTTCCGCTGTAGGGCAGCTGAGTGGGAGGAGGCAGGCAGACTCCTCGGATGTCCCACAGAGCGTCCTGCCCTGGCTGGTCCCGCCCCTGGGCGCAGGGCAGGTACGCCGTCCCAGGCGCCCAATCAGCTTGCTCTGCTGCTGCACACCAGTCAGGTGATGAGGCCAGAATATTTATTGCCTCCCTCCCATGAAGAATTATCCACAAACTATCCACATAACTGGTTTGACAAAATTCTGCAAATTCTTTCTCTTCTGTAAACCCACCTCTTATCCTCACAATCAAAATGAAGCTTAAGTGTGAGTAATTCCATTTGCACATTGTTCATTTCTTGACCCCTTGGAAATTTAGATTGGCATCTCAAAGCAAGGTCAGTTAGGTGGAGGTGTCTCTGCAAAGTGTCTTATACACCAATAACACTCACTGATAGGGGAGAGAAAAGACAGACAGAGAAGCCTCCTGTGTTAACATGGCAAGAAAACTCAGCCTCAGGGCTGACCTGAAATTATTGAAACCATCTGTTGTCTGGTGGTCTTGCAGACATCACATCATCCATGTATAGCCCCATTAACAGGAGACCCAGAATGCTGGTGTCCTTTTCTGATTCTGGAATTAAATTATGGATTCACTTTCTCCAAACTGAATTGTGGACCTTAAAACTACATCTATGCATGCTGGGAAATAAGAGGATCAGAAGAGGTTGCCTTGATTCATCTCATCTAACCCAGTATTGCCTTCACCAAGGTTTCCCAAACTTAGGTCTCCAGCTGTTTTTGGACAACAACTTCCATCTTCTTCTTCTTCTTCGGCAATCACTTGTAGCCAAGTAAGATTGTCTTCCATGAACACCGTCTTAACAGTGAGTCCATAAGTGACTGTGGAGGCCAATTCTGGATCCACACGTCTTTCCACAGTGGGGACAAAGGTTTCTGGGTGGGAGTTGATCACAGTGAGGGTTTGCCAAGCTTGCCTTCCTCTTAGCACGTCTCTCCCTTTCGTCCTGAGTTCAAGTATCTTCAAAGTCTATGACACCTTTGGTAAAGGCTGTTCTCCAATTGGAGCGCTCGCAAGCCAGTGTTTCCCAATTGTCAGGGTTTATACTACATTTTTTTAGATTTGCCTTGAGAGAGTCTTTAAACCTCTTTTGTTGACCACCAGCATTACACTTTCCATTTTTAAGTTCGGACTAGAGTAGTTGCTTTGGAAGACGATAATCAGGCATCCACACAACATGACCAGTCCAGCAAAGTTGATGTTGAAGAATCATTGCTTCAACACTGGTGATCTTTGCTTCTTCCAGTACACTGGTATTAGTTTGCCTGTCTTCCCAAGTGATGCATAAAAAATTTCGCAGATTTCATTGATGGAATCTTTCACGGAGCAGGGCCAGTGGTCAGAGATGATGGGAATTGTAGTCGAAAAACAGCTAGAGACCCAAGTTTGGGAAACCCTGGCCTACACTGACTAGCAGCAGCTGCTGGGTTTCAGGTGGGGAATACTGTGTCCAGTTCTGGGTGCCACAATTTAGGAAAAATAATGACACGCTGGAATGTGTGCAATAGAGGGTGACCAAGATGATCAAGGGTCTGGAAACCAAGCCGTATGAGGAATAGTTGAAAGAGCGGGGTATCTTTAGCCTAGAAAAGAGGAGACTGAGAGGAGATTTGAGAGCCATCTTCAAATATCTCAAGGGCTCTCACATGGAAGAGGGAACAAGCTTGTTTTCTCCTGCTCTGGAGGGCAGGACTCGAACCAATGGCTTCAAGTTACAAGAAGGGAGATTCCAACTAAACATCAGGAAAAACTTTCTGACAGTAAGAGCTGTTCGTCAGTGGAACGGCCTCCCTCTGGAGCTGGTGGTCTCTCTTTCATTGAAGGTTTTTAAGAGGTTGGGTGGCTATCTGTCATGGATGCTATAGCTGAGATTCCTGCAGTGCAGGGGGTTGGACTAGATGACCACTGAGAGTACCAACTCTATGATTCTGTGATTCTATGATTGCATCTGAATCTGTGGTTCTGCCTTTGTGGAGGGAGTTGAAGGATGTTCCCTAACAGAGACAGGGAGACGCTCCCTGCAACAGCTGCCAGCAGTCTGCTTCTTCTGAGCAGCTTCAGAGTGGAAAGTCAATAGCCACAAAAGGAAATGGGCTCAACAGAGGAGCAATCTTTAGAAACTTCTCATCCCTCGGAAGCCCAGGGAGCAACGTGACTTGCTAAAGGTGACCCCCAGAATCCGTGTTCCTCCCTTCCCTGCTCCGCCACCGCTGCCTGCCAGAGGATCCTTCCCTCCCGAACGTGTTTATTTCCACCCAGGCTGCTTTGTAATTTCATTATTTATCTCCCGTTTAGCCTTTGACAGATCAAAGCCTCAGCCGAGGCAAAGCAAGTTGCGGCATGCATGCAAACAAGCCTGATACATAATTAATTACCATAGAACAGTTTCATTAGGAGATGGTGTTACACGGCTGTTTGTCTTAAAAATTTAAGCTGTGTAAAGAGAACAAGGAAAAGTATGTCTTTGCCGTTCAGCCTGCGGTTGTATGACAGCTCTGGGGCAGGCAGGGAGAGGAGGGGGGGTTCAGGGGCGGGAGATGGAGAAGCAGGCCATACACAACCCAGCTGCTTTATGGAGGTGAGCTTCAGCCAAGCGGCCCTGCAGGTGAGCTACCTGTCGGGAAGAGGAGGCCTCTTGGGAGATGCTCAAGGAACCTCCTG